ATATATATGTTACATTTAATTTGTTAACATTTGACAACCTTAGAAAGTACAATTTATTGTGACCATCGATCATAGGACCAACCATGCATTAAATATTGGTTTTATTTTATCTTTTCCAGATCCTATTAGTTTAAGCCCTTATTCCATTATCAGACTTAGGTTCTCTTCCCATTTTGAACCTGTTTTTGACAGTATTTTTTTATTCCCCACTGGTTTTGTTTTATGCTAAAACACAAAGTAATGGTATCAGCACCAGAAACTCCTGTATGTTTCAAAGGCATTTTTTTCCAATCCATATTTGAGAGGTCACTGTTGTATCATTAAGAACTCACTACCAAGTTGCACTAAAGTGGGCTTTGATTCAGACTACAGAATCTTGATTCCCATCCATATCTTTTTTCCAAATTCATGATAGCATACAAAATTCAAATATGTCAGGGAATGAAGGACACTTGAAAAGTGCTATGCTAGGAATAGTAAAACAACATTCCTGAGATTAACCAGCAGTTAATTACCTTCCCATGTTCAAAGAACTTAATTTGCTGTAGATGAGAGATGAAGTCACACTTGACAGCATTCAATAATTTGTCATTGGGTATTTTTTTCTGTATTTCTTTTTAAAATTTAATTTATTTTTTACTACAGTTGACATTCAATATTATTTTATATTAGTTTCAGGTGTACAGCATAGTGGTTAAACATTTATATAATTACGAAGTGATCACCTAATAAGCTTAGTACCCACCTGGCACCGTTCACAGTTATTACAATACTAGAGGCCCGGTGCATGAATTCATGCACTCGGTGTGTGTGTGTGTGTGTGTGTGTGTGTTGGGGGGAGTCCCTCAGTCTGGCCTGCGCCCTCTTGAAGTCTGGGACCCCTCACTCCTTACTGCCCGCCTGCTCACTGCTCCTTAGCGCTGCTCCTTAGAGAGGCTCCCACCACTGTACTCACCAGCAGTGAGCCCGGCTTCTGGCTGAGCGGTGCTCCCCCTGTGGGAGCACACTGACCACCGGGGGCAGCTCCTGAGTTGTCTGCCCCCTGGTAGTCAGTGTGCATCATAGTGACTGGTCGTTCTGCCTTAACAATCGCTTAGGCTTTTATTATATAGATTATTGACTATAGTAAAAAATGTTGTACTTTTTTTTGTTGTTAATCCTCACCCAATGATATTTTTCCATTGATTTTTTTTTAAAGAGAGTGGATGGAAGGAAGGGAGGGTGAGGGAGGAAGGGAAAGAGAGAAACATCACTGTGAGGGAGACATGTCAATTGGTTTGCCTCCCACAGGCAGGGACCCGTGGTTCAAACCTGCAACCCAGGTATGTGCCCTTGACTGAGACTCAAACCCTGACCCTTCAGTGCGAGGGCTGATGCTTTAACCCCTTAGCTACACTGGCCAGGGCCCTATGCTGTACTTTACATCACCATGACTATTCTAATGTGTAATCTACTTAGATATTTTAACCCTAGCTCTCTTAATTTCTAATTAAAGTAGATCTAAAGATGCAGAACCATCTGCCATGAATTTGGTATTCATTGTCAAGAAAGAAAAGTAAAGCACTTATACCTAAATTATAACCAAAATAATACTTTTTTTCTGTTTGATACTATAATGACTAAAACACTGTACTTAGTAATAGAAATGCTGCATCTGTTTTTGCAAAGAAGTATTTTGGAGAGAACTATTTGGAGAATATTGAGATCTTTTTAATATTAGGACCTTAAAGTCTGTATGAACTGTATAGCTGCTTAAAACTTCAAATAATCTTTTGTGTTTCCTAATAGACATTATTTGGAAGCAGTTAAGATATTTTCATCCTTCTGTAAGGACCCCACCAAAATTTTGCTTTTGTGTATGTATTCCTATCTAAAATACGTTTTCCCATTGATGACGATGAACTTATAGTCAAGTACAAAAGAAGCTTAAATGGAAATCTGAAAGGTTGTTACATGTTCTTAGTCATACACTAGTTAATAGCAGCATAAAGACTATAATGTAATCTCAGTGTAGTGCTTTTTACAACTCTTAAGAGCCAATATAAGCCTATACTTAGCAATCACACTATAAAAATACATTTGTTTCATATTCTAATCAGTTAAGGGATAGTAAACATGGAGTGAGTATAAAGAAAAGAAGGAAAGGAACAAAGATACAAACCCCCAAGTTTCTTCAGCTATTCCCTGGTCCCCGTGCCTACCAGAATGATCTCCTAAGCCTCAGTTCTTTGTGAGAACACTTACTTTAGTTCCTAGCATGTAGTGAGTGCTCAATAAACATTAGTTCCTGTCCCAGCCATCTTCCTAACAGCCAATGTCATTTGCTTACCTGACCCCTAATTTAACATCTGCCTGAGGTTGTCCTGCCCTCTCTTTCTTCTCCTTGAGACAGGCTGAAAAATATCTGTACTATCAACAGTTTCTTGGACCACTTTCAGAATTGGCGATAGGCTATATATTTCTTGGAGTCCAAACATCATGTCTCAAATATTGGTGATGGGGGTAGAGTGGGGTCTTATTTAGCACCTCTTGGGAAGCATACATATGTTTCTTACATGTGCCAAACCTAGAGAGGAAGTTGTTCACACAAGACTTTTGCCTTTTTAAGAGTCAACTCTCGGGGATATCTTGGGCAGACAGATTTGAATTGGACAGGTACTAGCTGTGTGACTTTGGGCATATTGCTTGACCTATTCAAGCCTTAGGTATCACCATTAGAAAGTATAAATCATTACAATCATGTTAAACTTAGGGTAAATGCATCTTGAAGAGAAGTTGACAGTGTGGAGTGGCCTCTGACAAACAATACCCCATCATATATAATTGTTCTTAGTAAAAAGCCACCCTCCACAAACCTCCTTTGACAGATTTAGGATTTAAAAGATTTTGAGAGGCTGAAATGATTGGTAGAATCCAACAAGGTAAATATTTAATGAGACAAATATAAGTTTATATTGGGTCTGAAAATTTTTTTAACTATATAACTATGTTCTAAAGAGGGACAAAGTTTAACTAGCTTAGGTAAAAAAGAAGCTTATATTTTAGTAAAAAGTTGGCATAGCAAGAGTCAACAGTATGATGTGACCACCAAAAAATGTTGAAACTATCTTAGGCTATATTGCCTTAAAGTTCATTTAAAAAATTAATTTAATTTTAATTTTTCAATGACAGTTCACTTTTAACATTTTATTGGCTTCAGGTGTACATCATAGTGGCCAGACAATCATACACTTCATAAAGTGTTCCCCCTGATATTTTCAGCACCCACCTGGTAACCACAAAGTCATTGCAACATTGTCTACTGGTATATTCCCTCGGCTATGCTTTACATCCCTGTGATTATTATGTAACTACCAATTTATACTTCTTAATACCTTCACCTCTTTTACCCAGTCCCCCAAATCCCTTCCTCTTTGGCAACGACCAGTCTGCTCTCTGTGATTGTGTTTCAATTTTATTTATTTTGTTCTTTAAATTCCACATATAAGTGAAATCATATGATATTTGTCTTTCTTAGACTGACTTAGTTCACTTAGCATAATACCCTCTAGGTCCATCCATACTGTCTCAGATGGTAAGATTTGAATTTTTTTATGGTCGAGTAATATTCCATTGTATATATGTGCCACTTCTTTATGCACTCGTCTACTGATAGGCACTTGGGTGGTTTCCATATTTTGGCTATTGTAAATAATGCTGCAATGAGCATAGGGGTGCATATATTCTTTCAAATTAGTGTTTTGGGTTTCTTCAGGTAAATCTCCAGAAGTGGAATCACTTGGTCACTAGGCAGTTCCATTTTTAATTTTGGAAGGAAACTCCATACTATTTTTCCATAGTGGTTGCACCAATCTTCATTCCCATTAACTGTGCACGAGGGTGAGCGTTTCCTTTTCTCCACATACTAGCCAGCACTTGTTGTTTGTGGATCTACTGATGATAGCCATTCTGACAGGTGGGAGGTGGTATCTCCGTGTGGTTTTAATTTGATGTTGAGCATCTTTTCATATGTCTGTGGGCGATCTGTATGTCCTCTTTTTTAAAAAATGTGTTTTTATTGATTTCAGAGAGGAAGGAAGAGGGAGAGAGAGAGAGACAGAAACATCAATGATGAGAAAGAATCATTGATCAGCTGCCTCCCACATGCCCCACACTGGCGATCGAGCCCTCAACCCGGGCATGTGCCCTGATTGGGAATCAAACCTCCACCTCCTGGTTCATAGGCTGATGCTCAACCACCAGGCTTAACCACCGAGCCATACCAGCCAGGCTGTATGTCCTCTTTAGAGAAGTCCTCTACCCATTCTTTTTAATCCTCACCTGAGGATATGTTTTTATTGATTTTAGAGAGAGAGGAAGGGAGAGAGAAAGAGAGAGAGAGAGAGAGAGAGAGAGAGAGAGAGAGAGAGAGAGAGAGAGACATTGATTAGTTGCCTCCCATACCCACCCTGACTGGGGATTGAAACTGCAACCTAGGTATGTGTCCTGACCAGGAATCAAACCTGAGACCTTTTGGTGTATGGGAGGATGCTCCTATCAACTGAGCCACTTGGCTAGGACTCCACGTGATTTTTAGATAGTACTGGGGCAGCGGGTCCAGATAAATGGCAGTCTTAAAACAATGCCTTTCTTTAGATTGTCTGCTGTAAAACACAGAATTCCAGGGATGGGTGTTTTAATCCTGCCTGTCATTATTGGTGCCCCAAATCATTACATGAAGCTCATGAAGTTACTGATACTCTTATAACTTTTCCTTTGGAATGGTATTGCCTAGACTTACTATACTAAATAAATAACTCTTGCCATATCAGACATTAAAGGCAGATTTATTGTACCCATATTAAATTACATACTCAGTAACTAAAAAGCTATTACTGTAGCCTGCAAACACTCGATTTGAGGTGGTATCTGAAATAATATATGGTTGAAGAATGAAAATGATACTTGTAAATATTCATTAATGGGATATATAGTCTCACCTCCCTTTATTTTGTTCATAGATACAACTGGGACTGAACAGGAAAAGACTGAAGTTTTTACAGATAACTTTTGTAATGTATGCAGAGTTGTGCTACCGTTTGAATCACAAAGGATTTCACATTATGAGGTAGGTTAAAAAGAAGGCTTAGGAATGGGACTGGAATGGGGAGGGAGGCAATGGGGAAAAGGAGGGACATCTGTAATACTTTAAACAATAAAGATAAATTGAAAAAAAGAATCAGAATAGAGTCTAAAATGGGTTTTTAAATATAGCAGATAAAATTCCTATGTTATATTTTTTTGATTATGTAGAATAGATGGTATTATTTCCCTTTAATGGATAAGGAGACTAGCTCAGAGGGGGACAGTAATTTACTAGCTTAAATTTGGGGAATTAGAGTTTAAACTCAGTCTCTCTTTTTTTTACTACAAAAATGCTTTATTTTCTTCACGCCATTCTGTATCTCTTTGTATTCATCAAGCCACTACTATATCCTTTATGACTTTGTAATAAATTCAAGGAAAACTGTTCATGTAAATCAGGGGATATTATAGAACTCCAGTGTTCCTTTATAGCAAACTGGAAACGCAGTGCACGAATTCGTGCACCAGTGGGGTCTCTTGGCCTGGCCTGTGAGATCAGGCCAAAACTGGCTCTCTGACATCCCCCAAGGAGTCCCGGATTTCGAGAGGGCACAGGCCAGGCCGAGGGACCCCACCAGTGCACGATCGGGGCCAAGGAGGGACATAGGAGGTTGGCCAGCCAGGGGGGGGACCACAGGAGGGCTCCAGGGTGTGTCTGACTAATCTTGCTCAGTCCTGATCAGCTGGACCCCAGCAGCAAGCTAACCTACCAGTTGGAGCGTCTGCCTCCTGGAGGTCAGTGCACTTCATAGGGAGTGATTGAACAGCCTTAGCATATCATTAGCATATTGTGCTTTGATTGGTTGAACAGATGACTGTTCACTTAGCATATTAGACTTTTATTATATAGGATGAAGGCTTTAAAAATAAAATGAACCAGTCTAGCACTTGACTTAGCCACATGTTTTTAGGAACAGAACCATAGAATTCTAGAGCTAGAACATGGAAAGTTTAATGTTCTTTCTCTTTTGGTTTATCGATCAGAAAATTGAGACCCAGAGGGAAAGTGATTCTCTATAGTTAGTATTGGCATGGCTAAGCTTAAAAATGATTTCTTGTGATTTCATATCCAGTGTTCTTTCATCTGCTATTGCCTTTCATTTCTACATCATGTAATGAGCTATTGGATTTTTTTCATATCTGGTATCTGGGTTACTAAAAGTACTAGATACATTTACTTAAAAGAAATAGAATGCCAGCTGTACTTTTTAAAACACCTTATCTCATTTTGCCCTTTGCAAATCTTATTGGCAACTATATTTAAGTCCTTATCTTCTTTGGGATTCAATTAATGTAGTTACAGATAGGGGAACTGTTTTGGCTGTGGATTGAAAGGACTTAGGATCTAGTCTTAACTCCGTCATTGTTGTGTAACCCTGAAGAAGTCACTTTACCTCTCTGAGCATGTTTCTTGAACCTGTAAAACAGGGCTGGTAAAATCCCTCTTACTATACTTGTGAGAATTAAATGAAATCAAATATGTGAGTGTACCTAGCTCATTCTCAGACTCCATAGCTCAAAGATTTAGAGTTAGTAAAGAGAAACACACAATTGAGGGCTCTGTGATAATTGTGGTTGGAACCATTTGAATTTAAATTTGAAAAGTAGCTTTTTATGGGCTTATGGAGTGCTATTCAGTGGGGAAAATATACTAAATATGAGAAAATAAAAATCAATTATAATTATGTTGACCAATGTCACCCCAATATAATTTAATAAAAATAAATAAATAAATAATTATATTACTTGCATTATTTAATTTTTCTTTTGCTTATGTGATTTCAGTATGCTTTCTGAACACACACGCACACATTTTTATAAAAGAAAATTGTATATGTTGTGTTGTACTTGTTTTTTCATATGAGATCATATTCTGGACACTTTGTCTTATCATTACACCTTTTTCTTCTTTTATAATATTTTATCGGCTATAAAGCACATAATAATGTAATGGTGTAGCATATTTTAAAATTTAAATTTCAGTGCCATCTGTAAGTGTGGTGCTTAAGCTTATTAAATCGTCAAATCAATATTGTACATGACTTTCCATGTATTCTGAAAAGGTGATTTTTTTCTGTTTAGTATATAGCTTGGTTAATAATTTTAAACTATCTCAGTATAGTATTTATTGTAAAATAGAACAGTTCTGCAGGAGTTTTGAATGTTGATGAGGTTGTACTTATACATGTTTAAGAAACCATTCTCTGCACTTTTGTCATATAGATTTCCCCTATATTTTATGGTTCTGTACCAAAATGTTATTGCCTTCTTGAGTTGTAGCATAATTTTCATTTCACTGAGATTTAGAGATTTGAAAGCATGTGAAGCTCTTTTATAAACTTGGTACACACCAAATAAATTATAGCTTACAAATTCTGTCCTCAAATTCAAAGAGGTATAAATTTGGAGTGTCACTGTTATTGAATAAAGTCATATTACATCTTTTTACAGAGTGAAAAACATGCTGAAAATGTTAGGTTTTATTTTCATATATATGGAAAACAAAATGAAGTGCCTAGTAAAAGAAAGAAGATGAATGTTAGAAATTTTCAGGTGAGTGGTCTATGTTGATGTTGTAATTCTAAATTTTGAGTTATTGAATCTTTCTAATAAGATTGTGCTTATTTCAGGTGCATAAGACTGAAGTAGTGGACAGAAACAAATTTTGTGATCTCTGCAACATGACTTTTAACTCTCCAATTGTTGCTCAGTCTCACTATGTGGGGAAAGTCCATACTAAAAAATTGAAGCAATTAATGGAGGAGCATGATCAGGTACCTCCATCAGGATTTCAGGCGAAGATGGGTAAGATTACATTTACTTCTTTAGCTTCAATACAGGATCTCTCTATCATTCCTCCGCCCCTCGCCCCCCCAACTCTGCCATCTATTTCTTTTTCAGAGAAACTTTCACTCCAGGGCAATATATTGATTCTTCTTCTTCTGCCCAGTTAATCTCTTTCTGTGTTCTTATAATTTACTATAGAGATTATAATTGTTAGCTGAATTTTAGGAAATATTATGACCTCTCCTTTTCAGTTTATTAAATTCAAAAATAGGTGATTTGCTATGCCTGCTATAAAGAAACAATAACCAGCCTGAATCCTTCACTTTCTAATCAAATCATAACATCTTAGCTTCTTACTTCTCCTTGGCATCTATCTCATTCTTTTTTTTAATTTAGTACTTTCCAGAACATCATCTCATGTGTGGGTTCAGACCCCATAATATAGTTATGATTCAGCATCCTGACTATAACTGTAGGCAAAAAAATTAGTAAGTTATAGAATCTCCTTTTACCCTGATAGCTCATTTCTTCCTTCCTATGAAAATAAAGAAAAAAAATATCATTAGTAGCATCAATCAGTAGTTATTAAGTACCTATTTTTATGCTAGATCCTAAAGATACAGTGAACTATAAAACATTGCCTCTTCCTTCCAGTGATGTTGGGTCACGAGCATATGAGAGATATCACCCAAACTTCTAACTTCTTGCCTGAGGTGGCAGAGTACAACCTGGAAAACCTAACTAGTATTTTGAAAAATGTGTGTGCTAGAACAAAAAAATGAGATGATTAATCCTCTGAATAAATAATTTACCACATTTTCACTAACTTCAACACTTTAAGGATATGGCATGCTTGGCATGGAAAATTTACCAACATTAATTTCCAATTGATAGTGTAGACCTCATCCAGCATTAAAATATATTGTCTCTCTAATTTTTGTATTTTTTTCTGTCTGTCATTCTAAAAGGGCTAGAATCAGTGTGCCCTACAAAAGAAAGCGTCTTGTAAAGTCTTATCTTCAGTTACCCAAACCCATCAATTTGGTCTCAGAGAGGAGACCAAATGAAAGAGCTCTGAAATAACTGTAATTGTGACAGTGTATAATTTTATAGCCTTAAACACCTGCATACATTTTATTTTGATACAGACACAGCAAATCTGGACTGAATAGATGACTTACTCTGCTACTCAGGGACCTCAACTTAGTATTTGGTACCATCTGTTTTACCCTCACTAATTTCAAGAACCATCCTAAGACAGCTTTCATTGATTTTTCCGATTAATATAATTAGTCAATGCCTGATGTTGAACATCCTTTCCTGTATCTTTATTGGAGAAACTTGGTGAAAGATTTGTATTCAACTTTCCTTTCTCACAGAAGGCACTTATTTTTAACCCAGATGTGAAAAAAATAAAAAGATAGTGGGTTTTAAAAGCATTCTAAATTTCCCTAATACTTTATAATCAATGTAGCTCTGATAGCTGAACACATGTTGATCACTTCTCATTATGACTATTTTAGCAGGTGTGCCTATTATTACTTCTGCAGAATCAACTTTTCTGAAGCCCCTTGCAGTCAAGCCTTCTCCAGGTGGGATTAAAGACAAGACTATGCCTTCATCTTCCAGCACTGCTTTGGATTTGAATAATCCAAACAAGTATTGCAAACTCTGCTCTGCTTCTTTTAATAGTCCATTAATGGCCCAACAACATTATGTTGGGACAAAACACAAAAGAAATGAAGCTAGAAAGAAATATGTAGACAAGATAAGAGCGAAACCTCTTCTAGCAAAATCAGATGCAAATGGTAAACAGTAAAAATATTACAAAAATTTCATAGGAAGTTTGTATTTTTAAACACAAACTACTGGCTTATGTAGATACAATTTTACTCTTATTGAGTAGGAGGCTGATAGTACTCATGGGATCATATATTTTTAGGTAAGTAAGGACTTAGAGTCTATCTAGTTCTGTCTGTTGGTTTTCTAGAAAATGAGACCCAGAAAGTTTTAAATGACCCTTATTAATTACAGAATCAAATATAGGTATTTTCATGGTTCCTTGTTATATCATAAGTACATAAGGAAGCATTTTAAATTAGTATTGTGTGGTTTTACCATTTATTCACTAAGTATGTTTTAAGTGTCTCTTGGGAATACAAATGAGGATGGATAAACTATTTTCTCAGGATAGGTGTATAAACTAGTTAGTAGGTAATATTTCATTGCAAGTGGCTACAGACATGGATTTATGTATGTATTTAGGGAGGAGTGAAACATCATGGTTCAAAAATCTTTTTAGAGGAAATGCATGATTTAGATTGGTAGGAGTGGGAACGAGGAAGGATGAACAAAGGTGCTAAGAAAGAGTGTCAAGAATTCAGGCACAAATAAAAATTCTGATCCTGACTGGAGTGATCTACTTGCTCTTCTAACTTTCTTTTTTTTTCATTTTACCCCCATAGGCACCTTCTCACTATTGGTATATTTTATTCCCTTTTCATATTCTTTCGTCCACCTACGTCTTTCCCTCCACTCACTCTTATTTTTTAAGTCTTTCCTTACTAGACCTTTTCTGCTTCATGTGAAAATGTTCATTACTTCTTTCTTCTTAAAGCTCTATTCTTATGTCATATGTAACTCCTTATGCTCTGGTTCTTCTCCTGTGATTCTACTTCTTTTTTATTTTTATTTTTTTTGGGGGGGGGCTCTTTAAAAAAAAAATCCATTACCTAAATGTAGATATTCCCATGGTTCCGTTCTTGCCCTTACTCTACAAACATGACCTAATCTACCCTCTGATTTCGTCTCTCATTTGTATGCTTATAATTTTTCTGGCAAGCTTTAGACTCATAGATCCAAATGGTAGCTGTTACTTCCACTGGATACCTTATAGCTATTTCAAATCCACCAAGTCATTCAAACTAGAAACTGGGAATCCCCCACACCACCTTATTCACTTTCTATATCGAATGAAGCACCAAACCATGACTGTTTTACCTCCAAAATATTACCTATTCCTTATCTTCAGCCTGTTCTTCCCACACTAGTTCAGACCCTCAACATCTTTCCTAGAACTTTGCTACTCAAAGTATGGTTTGTGGGCATATTCATTGGCATCACTTGAGAGCTTGTTAGAAGAAAAAAGAATTTCAGGCCTCACTTCAGACCTACTGAATCAAAATACACATTTTAACAAGATCCCCAGGTGATTTGTATATACAATAAATTTTGAGAAGCATTGTTCTAGAATATTGCTATAACCTCCCAACCACTCTCCCTGCTATCATTTTTGTCTGTCAAATATGTCCTCAATTTAATCACTAGAATATTTCACCTAAAGTGCACATTTTTCCATGTCATTCCCTTGCTTAAAAATTCATAATTGTTTCTCTATTTTCTAAGGATAAAATCTAAGCTTCATAGCTCTTTACCATGTTGTCCCTGCCTACCTTCTCAAGGCTTATCCTCTACTACTTCCTGCCATGACCTGCGTGGGTCAGAACCTACAAACTCTTTAAGGTTTCCAGAAATCATTAACCCATTTATTGTCTCTATGACCTTGTTCATGTTGCCTTTGCCTGGAACATCTCCATGTCCCTCTTGTCTTGGCTCACTTCCACCCATTCTTGTGTATCTAGTTATCTCTCCATGTATCTTTAGCTCCCATTAGAATGTAAGGTATTTGAGGGAAGGGACTTCACTTAACTAATTTCTATTTCCAGTGGCAGAGTATGTCTACCTCAGTAGAGATTAGTCTAATATATGAACCAATGAACTATTAAATTTTTGAATTTTTTATTAAGGTATTACAAATGTGTCTTTATCGCCCCCATTGTCCCCACATCTCCCCAGTCTTGCCCTCACCCTCACCCCCTGTTGTCTGCTATTTATTTTTATATATTGAGTGCTAACCCTGTGTTTATACTACTTAAGTTTCTTAATGTGATTCAAATTCTCTCCCAAAGTTACACAAAGATCTGTGTTTTTATGTAGGATTTTAAAGAATTGTTATTTAGGCAAGTGTAGAAATAGAAGTCATAGGGCTTCTGAAAGTAGTAGATGTTTAGAGAAATCACAAACTTCCACTTGGTAGAGGTTTTTTATTTTTTTATTGTTATTTTTTGTATTGTTGGGCTTAGGGTATCTGAAATAAGTGACTTCTAGTTTAATGGCATTAGGTAAAATTGGAACCGAGTCAGCTATGAGAAGTGTGTGTATCTTGAAAGGGGGGGGGATCATTTTAGTACTCTGAGGTCTCAGGGTTATTAGAATAAGAGAAAAAAGTTTGGATAATATTTTCATCTGCCTGGGAAAGGGTTGCTGATCATCAACAGAATCTAATCCAACCATTGAAATCATTTTACACTAGCTTCTAAAGCTAGAGCCCAAAGAAGAGATTATCAACCTTGCCTTGACTATTCCATTTTTTAGAACAGTAACCATTTGAGGATCAAAAAGTAGCTGGAGAATTTAATTTAGCAAATGAGAATTTCAAAGAACAGCAACAGCAGAAGCCTACATTATATATATGAGCAAGTAGTAAGACAAAAAGTGTTTAACACGTGCCTCCTTAAATATTTCACTCTCCAACCATTTTCTCCCTTCTTACTCTCTTTGACTTCTTTTCCATTTGCTATTGTTTATATGTTTCCACTATATCTAATCTCCCTCTTTCTTCATCATTCTCACTGTTTCTTCATGTTCCTTATCCAGCCCAGATCTTATTAGCACAGGAATGGCTACCATAACAATATGGAACTAAAGTATGTATGTATTATTTATTTATTTGTTTTGCATATCTTACTAATTTCTAGCCCCATTATTGCACATAGATGTCTCATTTCCACCTGTAACTCAACATATCTTACATTGAAATAATAATCTCCACTAAAACCAATTTGAATTTCCCAAGTTTTCTCTCTTTGTCAGTGGTGCCACTATTTGTCACCAACACTTGAATCTTTGAGAACTTTGATTACTTAATTGCCGTTATCCTGTCCATCAGTCAGTCTTACTAAGTCTTCTTAGAACTACTTCTCCTTCCTGTACCCTTCCATTACATTCCATTATCATCATCTCACACTTTAATGCTGCAATAACCTTCTGAAAGGCTTTACTTATATCTCATTGTTATTCTCTCATTACCTAGTAGCAGTGGGGCTGGGATGAGCGGGAGCAGCAGGCAGGAGTGGCAGGTGGCGTTGGACTGCTGGTTTCAACCCTATCCCCGCGGACCACACCGAGGAACCCCATCAGTGTGCAAATCCAGGCCTCTAGTATTTACATAACTGTGGTCTCCTTACTTCCAGGCTTGCCCCTCTCAAATTCAAGGTTTCCAATGCACAAAATAAAAAGTCTAGGCTTCTTAACATAGCATGTAGGTCTCTCTTTGATCTGACAACCTTTTGCCTCTCCCATCTCATACCCTTATATTTATTTCTAAAACAATTTGAATTTTTTTAAACAATTTTTAATTTTAAGAAGTTCCTGCAGACATTTCAGTGTTTTTTTTCTCTCTTTTTAAAAATGAATTTATTGGGGTGACATTGGTTTCAAGTGTACAATTCTATGCTACATCATCTGTATATTGCATTGTGTGCCCACCACCCAAATTAAAATCTCCTTTGCTCCATATATTTGACGTCCTTTACCCTTTACTACTCCCATACCCCTTTCCTCAGGTAAAGACCATACTGTTGTCTGTGTCTATGAGTTTTTGTTTGTTTGTCTTGTTTTTTTCATTAGTTGCTTCCAGTTTTATATCCCACATATGAGTTAAATCATATGGTTCTTGACTTTTATTGTCTGACTTATTTCACTTAGCATGATATTCTCAAGATCTATCCATGTTGTTGCAATGGCAGTATTTCATCTTATGGTTGAGTAGTATTCCACTGTGTATAATATATGTATACCACATCTTCATTTTTAATGCTATTTCCTCTGCCTATGGTACTCAGCTCTTTTCATTACGTTAACTATTTTTCATCCTTCCAAGTTTAACTAAGGCATCATTTCTTCCAATAGTCCTCTTCAGACCCCCATATTGTTCTCATTGCCTCTGCTTCTTTGAGCTCCTGTACCCATTAAGCATACCTCTTTTATACACATTAAGCATACCTCTTTTACCTTTTACCGAATGAAGTTGAACTTCTCTGTTCATGCATCTGTTTCTCATTTGGAATTGTGAGCAACCTGCCCATTTTATTTATCTTCTACCCTTAGCATCTAGCTGCCAGCTGTGGGCAAACTACGGCCCGCGGGCCAGATCCGGCCCATTTGAAATGAATAAAACTATTGAAAAAAAAGACTGTACCCTTTTATGTAATGATGTTTACTTTGAATTTATATTAGTTCACACAAACACTCCATCCATGCTTTTGTTCCGGCCCTCCGGTCCAGTTTAAGAACCCATTGTGGCCCTCGAGTCAAAAAGTTTGCCCGCCCCTGATCTAGCTTGATGTTTGGTGCCACATTGGTGCTTGTTGAACAGATTATTTGAATTAAACACATCATGCTAATTTCTGTCTCTGCCATACCTGATATTGTTTTCACCCCCTGGATGCCCTTATCCACTTTCTTTACATTTCAAATCCTTCTTCTCCTCCAAGATCCATCATGACCACCCTCACTGCTCCAGCTCTTGGTATTATCCTCTTTCTCTGATTCCTCATAGGCTTTACTGTTTATTGACAATTGCATTAACTATAGCCCCTTAATTGAATTAGCCTCCTTGAGACAAAGGATTATATTTTATTCTTTAATATCCTTCTCGGTGCTTTATATGGTAATGACTATATAATTTTCCCTCAATTAATATTTGCTAATAGTTTATTGAGAGGAAATGTTGTGTAGAGGGATAAACATAGATTCATAGACATGTTCAAAGTCACTTGCCCAGTTGCAATTCAGATTCTTCAAGTATAAAATAAAAATAAGGCTACTTCACAGGATTGAAAAAGGATGAAATAAAGCAGTATATACAGTATCCATCACAGAATAGGTCCTCAAGAAATGTTAGTTTTTAAAAATGTTTTGTTCTCCTGTCATAAAAATTTTTTAAAAAGGTAAGCTGGACATTTTTTTCTTCATAAGTTAAATCCCATATTAAGTTGCATTTTTGCTTACATATAGCTACCAATTGTTTTATCCGCATTTAAGACATTAGACCCATGTTTCTCATCCTTGACTAAATATTGGAATAACTCATGGAGCTGTTAGAAATTCTAGTGCTCAGGCCTTCCCTCAAATCAATTATATAAGAATCCCTGGGACCTAAATATTAACGTTTTGTTTTCTTTTTTAACTCCCCAATTGATTATAATATAGAGCCAAGATTGAGGACCACAATGTTAGACTATGAGGACATGCACTTCCCTAATTTATGCTTTGAAAACAAAGACCTTAATCAAGGGAGTTATGAGATTGGGCTGTGATTAGGAGAAATGTGGACCCCACAAGTGGTTATGGAAGATTCTGAAAAGTATAAGGTGCAAAGGAGCTTGAGTTTCTGGGTAAAGTCAGAAACAAGGAATCTTAGCAGAGCTAAGGGCAGCAAAGCTAGACAGGACCAAGGAGCAGTTTCATATAGAAAGGTAGAGAGCATAAGAAACATATGCAGGCAGATTCCAGGAGTATTAGATCAGGAATTTTTATCTCAGGGCCAATAAATATATTTTATATCTTCACAGAAAGGGTTTACACTGTTTTTATATATTATTTTCTGCAATGTGAATATCTTACAAAAAGATAAGGATTATCAGTGTGTGAAAAAGACAATGGCTAAGTTAATAGTAATGAGACCACAGTTTCAGAAGTGCCTCTGGACCTTTCATGTGTGACCTGCAGTTCCTCTAAACTCTTGTATTATCCTATATAAAACCTTGTATTATCCTATGTAATAAAAGCCTAATATGCTAAGTGTGTGGTGATCAGTTGGCTGTTCAACCAATCAAAACGTAATATGCTAATGATATGCTAAAGCTGCTTAATGGCTCGCTATGATGTGCACTGATCACCAGGGGGCAGACAGTCAACTGGTGGACCAGTCGCTATGACATGTACTGATCACCAGAGGGCAGACACTCTGACTGGTAGGTTAGCTTGCTGCTGGGGTCCAGCTGATCGGGACTGAGCAAGATGGGCTGGACATGCCCGGGAGCCCTCCCATGACCCCTCCCCAGCTGGCCAACCTCCCACATCCCTCCCTGGCCTCAGTTGTGCACCGGTGGGGTCCCTCACTTAGCCTGTGCCCTCTCGCAATCCAGGACCCCTTGGGGGATGTCGGAGAGCTAGTTTCAGCCTGATGGTGGAATGACCAGTAGCTATGATGTGCACTGACCAACAGGGGGCAGACGCTCAATGCAGGAGCTGACCCCTTGTGATCAGTGCTTTCCCACAGGGGGACCGCTGCTCAGCCAGAAGCCGGGCTCTGCGGCAGCACTAAGGATGTCTTGGGGGAGCGGGCCTAAGCCATCAGTCAGACATCCCCTGAGGGCTCCCAGACTGCGAGAGGGTGCAGGCCAGGCTGAGGGACCCCCCTGAGTGCAAGAATTTTGTGCACTGGGCCTCTAGTCCTATATAAAACCCTAATATGTAAATAGACCAAATGGTGAAACGACTGGTTGCTATGACACGCACTGACCATCAGGGGGCAGCTCCTGTGTTGAGTGTCTGCCCCTCAAGAGGGAGGTGACCAGTGGGTGGTGCCAGGCTGCCAGCCAAGGTAGGTGCCAGTGGGCTCTCCCACCCGATCACCCTGCCCACTGGTTGCCCCACAGATTGGCCCTGATTGCCAGCCATGCCTAGGGACCCTACCCTATATATTGGAAACAGTCTCTTAGATTTAAAAATTAAAACCTGGCTAGGCTACTCTAACACTGAAAAAACAGGATGATGCAGGGATGACATGCATGGACTCTGGCTTGCACATTTTGTGATCAGCCCTGATTCTGACCCTTATAACTATGTGACAAAGCCAATTACTTAACTTCTCTCTGCTTCAGTTTTTCCACCCATAAGATGGGGAAAATGGTAGTATTGCCTCAAAAGGATCATGTTATGTACTACTTTTTATAATCAGGGCAAAAAAATGTAGCTGCCCATACAACAGCAAGATGCCTTTCACCTGTATGAAAAGTATGGTCACTGGTGTATGCAGCATCCCGGATAGCGAGAGGGATGTCCAACTGCCGGGGATGGGGCCTAAACCAGCAGTCGGACATCCTCCGAGGGCGCAGGCTGGACTAAGGGACCCCCCTCGCCCGCATTTTGTGCACTGGGCCTCTAGTCTATATTATAATCTTACGTGATTTTTGAAGAAACAAAGGAGGAACTGAGAAAGACATTATATACCATTTATTTTTTAAACACTAAAGAAATATGTAAAACCTCTGAAATATAATCTAAGTTTATAATCATAATGAAGATCATTGGCTTGATAAACTAGGGAAGTGGTGCTCAACAGTGGCTGCACAGAAAAATCATCTAGAATACTTTTATGAAGTCAGAAAGCCTGGTTCCACTCTCAGAGATTCTGATTTAATGGGTCTGATGTGAACTGTAACATGAAAAGTTTTAAAGTTCTCCATATGGCTCTAATGTGTAACTAGCATTGAGAAACACTAATTTAGAAGAAAGAGGGACTCCTGCTTATCTTGCATAATTTGAATGCCCTCAGAATGAATGGTGTTGGCCAAATGAATCTGAGTCTTAATTTCCATATCTGTTAAATAAAGATAGCAATTTATTGAAAAGCATTGCTGTGAGCATGAAGAGTCTTCAATTTAGTCCTTAGCTTTGAAAGAAGTCCAGAATATTCTGAGTCCATCTGCCTAAATCAGGTACTCACCACACCACAGACAGATTTGGAAGATGCTAATAAATAAGGAACTGGTAAGTATTCCCTTAGTGCATTTCTCACACATTCTCTGATAACCACAGCCTTGGGTATTATTAAAATACAAATGCCCTGCCCCAGACACAGAAAAGCATGTTCTCCAAAGGAAGAGCCTGAAGATCTGTATTTTTCATTAACATCCCAGTTGTTCCTATGGAAAACAATAAAATAATTAATAAATAATAATACAAAAATAAACTGTCTTGCATACTCATAACTGTAAACCTACTTTTGCCCCACCCTGTATATATTTCAGTTCCCAGGGTTTAAAAAATAATCATCCAGGGTATCCTTTTTTTTGGTATCAAATAATATGGGAAGCCAAATTATAATCAGAACATAACTTTGCAAGCACAAAATCAGAGCACAGGGAGAGAGGATAGTTTTGAAGAATCACTCATTCAAACTTGGTCATATTCTGCTAAGTTCTCCTTGCCCCAGATAGTGTGTCAAGAGTGAGCAGAGTTCTCATGTTCTTCAAAATCAGCATCTTTCTCTCCCCTTGACACTAGTTTCCTGTTTCTATGAATAATCTTTGCTTCAGAAAGGTCAATATACTTGGTAATGATTATTTTAGCATAATATAAATGATTAAGTTGCTATTTGATTTCAAAGATGACCTTGCTTGACCCTAAAATCTATGCATCCACCAATTTATTGATTTTTAAAGGTGGGATTGTTTTTTATTTTTGGCTTATGAAATTTATTAATTTGTTTCTTCTGACCAAAGAGATAATGGAAGGATGATGAGATTAAGAAAATAAAAATTAACTTATCCCCTGTTTACAATTCTACCTGCAAAGCATAATAGAGAGGTAGTTAGTATACCTTTTCTGTAGCTGTTAACTCTTTTGAAGTGGTCACTCATAGTTTTGTTTTAGAATTTTGCTTTCAGCTTTTGTCCTGAGAGTGGGTCTCACTAAACCTATCTCCTTTCTAAAATCTGTCTGTGGAAAGTACTTTTGACTAACTAATGTACTACAGTGATTTCAGGTAAGAGAGTAAATATTTGCTTTTGTTTGCTTTTAAACTTTTGGGATGTTTCAGGTTTTGGTTGGGTGTAAAAAATAAGGGGAAAACAAAAAGAGGTTGGTTGAGGGGTTAAGAGGTAAAGGTTCATTGGGCCTACAGCACTCACACATAGAAACAATAAGCAGGCAGACAGCAGATTTTTTAGGAAAGAAGCCAAGGCTAGAGAAGCAGTGTGATGTTGTATAAAGAATACTGGGCTTTAAATTAAGAGACATGAACTCTGAGAAGCTATCTCTATTACTAACTGATTCTGTGACTTTAAGTCACTTGACCTTTCTAGGCCTTATCTTTAAACTAGAGTCCCAGTGCACGAAATTTGTGTAAGGGGGGGGGTCTCTCAGCCCAGCCTGCACCCTGTTACAGTCCGGGACCCCTTGGAGGATGTCCCAGGGAGAGCAGGCCTAAGCCAGCAGTCGGACATCCTTCTCTCAGTCCAGGACCCCTTGCTCCTTACCACCCACCTGCTCACTGCTCCTTACCACTTAGCTAGCTGTTCCTTAGTGCTGCTGCTGCGGAGGCAGGATAGGCTCCAGCCACCACCATTGCGCTTGCCAGCTGTGTGCCTGGCTTCTGGCTGATTGGTACTCCCCTGTGGGAGCACACTGACCAGCAGGAGGCAGCTCCTGCATTGAGTGTCTGCCCCCTGGTGGTCAGTGTATGTCATAGCGACCAGTTCTGCAGGTCATTCAGTAGTTCAGTTGATTTGCATATTAGGTTTTTATTATATAGGATTGGGTAAGTTGAAGTAGATGGTGTCTAGTAAATTCCTGTCCAGCTATGTGATTCTAAGTGTATCCATATTGACCTTAATTTGAACTGTTTTTTCAGCATTTAGTGTGAGAACCTACAACTGTTATATTTGTAATATCACCTTTACATCATTAGAAATGTTCCGGTTCCATATGCAAGGAAGTGAACATCAAATTAAGTAAGTATTTTTTTGCCAAAATGCTCCTATAACATCAAATACTAGGGTTTCTACCAAGTGCCCTTGCATGTATTTTACAAATTTTCTAAGCATTTATTTCATTAGGAGTTAATCCTGTATATGATTTGTGGTATTTGTAACATATTTCATGCTTGTAACATCTCCCAGGAAGTTCTCTGACAGTATTATTTTTCTTTGGAGAGATATGTTAAAGGATCATTCTCTGGCTAACCATACAAATTCAAATAATACCTGGTAGGTTGGTTTAGTTCCAGATTCCATGATCTGGTCATCATTCTTCCAGTGAAGTATAGTGGTTAATAACAAAAGTCTTGCTGTTAGAGAGACCTGGATTGGAATACCAGATCTATCTTTCTATCAATTATGTAACTTTGGACAGTTCTGATATAAAGTGGTTATAATGAAATATAAAAATGTGGGTAAAGTGCCTGGCCTGGAACATAGTAGGAGCTCAATAAATGTTTATCCCATTCTAGTCTATTATTTTAAGGAGGAGAAGATTGAGTGGATAGTTAGGGGCTAGATAAGTCAGGTAGCAGGACAGACGGGTACTTACTGGTAGCTATTGTATATTGGTTTGTTGCTTTTAAAATCAAAGCATAACATTAAATTATTTTATTATAGTAGAAGAGATTTATACTATTGAGTGTGAATACTTAGGAGGTAAATTGTCTGACTCACCAAATTAACCTTCATTTAGACTTCTAAGAAAATCTCAGGGTTCCAGAATAAATAGCCATCACATTTAAAATATTTATACAAGGAACTAACTAATCAAAACTTTTAAAACAATGTGATATTCAGATGAGATCATCTTCTGATAGTGTTTAAATATTATTGGTCCTTTCCCACACATCCCAGCATGTCTTACATTCTAAGTACTATAACAGTATCAGATATGTCTGCTTCTTTGTACCCATATTCCCAGACCTGAAAATGTTTTTATATGTAGAATATTGAGAAGTACCTGGGACATATCTGACCATTCTTGCTGCTTCTTTTTTTGGCATAAAAAGTCATGATTTTTAGCTTTTATTTTAGGTAGGTTTTAAAAATCTGTGTTTTTTTAGAGTAATCTTTTCAAAGGTACAGAAAAATATTCAGAATAAAGTAATCTAGTAACAAGAACTTTCTACTGTCTTTGTTGCAGAGAATCCATAACTATCAGTCTAGTGAAGAATTCAAAGAAGACACAAGACTCTTACCAAGTAGAAAGTGAAGATTACATGAGAGCGCAGAAAGTTAGAGAACCAGAGCCCAAGATTTGTTTCAGAAAAATGGAAGATAATTCTTTGGAAACCCGTGGATACAGAAAAGTGGTTGGTTTCCAATCCAGACATAGAGTATATGAACAAAGACACCCATATGAGACTTTCCGGACATACCCAGAATCATACAAAATTTCGCAAACAGTGGAAAACCGCTTACCTCATTACTTACCAGCTTATTCAAGGAAGACATATGACTCTTTCCAAGATGAACTGGAAGAATACATCAAAGTGCAAAAAGCCAGAGGATTACATCCAAAGACTTGTTTCAGAAAGGTAAGAGGGAATTCTATGGAAACCCATGGGTACAGAGAAGTTGATTCTGGACCCAGACAAAGAATCAATGAGCAAAGATTTCCAGTTCAGACTTCTCATACCTTCCAACGACCATACAATATTTCACCAGTGGAAAGCCAGTTACATCATTCGTTACCACCAGCTTACTTAAAGAGGACATATGATTCTTTCCAAAATGAACTTGAAGATTACATCGAAGTGCAGAAAGCCAGAGGACTACATCCGAAGACTTGTTTCAGAAAGTTAAGTGATAGCTCTATGGAAACTCATAAGTACAGAGAAATGTTTGATTCCAGACCCAGACATAGAATGTCTGAGCCAAGAATCCCATTTGAGACTTTCCAGACCTACCCAGAATCACACAATATTTCACAAGTAGTGAAAAATCAGTTACCTCATTGCTTACCAGCTCATGACAGCAAACAGAAACTAGACTCTATGACCTATTGTCAGCCCACCAGAGACTATTTCCCAGAAAAACCAGTACCCCTAAGCCTTAGTCAGCAAGAAAACAACTCTGGCTTATACAGTATAGAATCTGAAGTTTACAAGCACCTCTCTTTAGAAAACACCACCAGTGTCCCTCAAGCACGTCATAAACGGAGACATCAGAAGAGAAGGCATCTGGAGGAAGGTGAAGAAAAGCCAGAGAAAGAGCAGTCCAAGCATAAAAAGAAAAAGAGTGATGGGGATATGGAACTAAATAAGGACAAGAGCATCCGACAAAAGAAAAGAGAGGGAGATAAAGTTAGTGTCAGTTCAGGCAAGCTTAAGCACCGAAAAAAGAAAAAAAGCCACAGTATACCCTCTACAAAAGAAGAACGTAAGCACAGGAAAGAGAAAAAGAAACCTGTTGAAGAAAAGACAGAAGAGGAAATGCTTTGGGATGAGTCTATTCTTGGATTTTGAACTTTTAGGTTAATTTACCCGAAGATGCATTGAAGAAATCTTATAAGAATATGGATTTAGGCAAAGAAATGTTTAGTGAAGAAAAAGAGGTGGATATAGTCAGTGTCAGCTCAGGAAAGTTTTTTTTGTGTATAAAAATTGAAATTGAATTAAAAGAAGAAACACACAACCCTAAACCTAGCCTTTGAGAAAGAACATAAGAACAAAACAAGAACATAAGACAAAAGTATACCTGTTGAAGAAAAGACAGAAGTCATTCTTTGGGACGAATCTACTCTTGGATTTTGAATGTTTTAGTTTTGTTATTTTAAGTTTGAATTGAAGAAATAAGTTAAAGAGTTTCATTTTATGAAATTCATGTTATTTGAATTTTCCTAAGTGGACAGTGACTTTAATCTCTAACAAAAGCCAAGTGAAGTAAAAGTATTTAATATGCCTTTTTGTCAAGTTATTTTTCCTCATTTTCTTTTGAGGGAGGGAGGGAGGGAAATTACGTATTTCTTACATATAATGTAATTTCCCTTAATGCGGTTGTCTCTCTAACTCATCAAATCGCTGTGATAATGAATTATTTACCCATGGGATATCATTTATTTTAAGTGAAAGAATTACTAGGCATTACAAAATCCATTCGTTGTTTGGGTTTGTGTTGATGGTATTTTATTGTTATGTGTTTATGTTTCTTGATTTTCTCTAAGAAAAATGTATGAAGAGATTTAGACTGCTTTTTTGTTTGTTAAATCTAATTTGCAGTGTATTTTTTTATTTTATAGTTTTAAAAGTGGAATATGAAACAGTCTATAATAAACTTAGATGATATATAGTTTTAAAAGTACTGATACAAAGTCTATATTCTGGAAACGTTTATATTATATTAAAGCGTTTTAATTTCTACATATTGTTTTATGTAAATGGTCATTTCCCAGCCAAAGATAATTTTGGGAATGAGAGGAAATAATTAAACAAGACTGTACCTCTGGGGAGATCACATTATAAAGTTGTAATAATTTTATTTCTTCTACAGCTTGCTTAGAAGCTGATATTCATATGAGCTCAGTTTTAAGTTAGAGAAATATGACTGACTATATACTTGAAAATGAAGGGATAATTTATACGTGGAAGAAGGCTGTGAGGGTACATTACCTTTAAAGGGCTTAATCTTGATTATTTTTTACTCTAGTGCTCCCTTTTATATAATAAGCGCCTCTTGTAAGCATTTGAGCATCACCATAGTATAGAGGGAGTAATAGCCAGGGAATGTAAATCTCAGGATTCTGGTTTCAGTTGTAACATCAAGTTTCTGTGTGACCTTGTGGGAATATCATCAGAATTCAACATGGCCCTAGCCAGTTTGGCTTAGTGGATAGAGCATCAGCCTATGGACTGAAAGGTCCCAGGTTTGATTCCTGTCAAGGGCACATGCCCGGGTTGCAGGCTAGATCCCTAGAGGTAGGTGTGCAGGAGGCAGCCAATAAAAAATTCTCTCTTATCATTGATGTTTCTATCTCTCTCTCCCTTGCCCTTCCTCTCTGAAATCTAAAAAATAAAATAAAATAAAATAAAATAATTCAACATGGAGTCATCAGGAACAGGAAAAAAATAGACTACAGTAATTCCTTGATGTGTTAATCCTATCAAAAAACACATAAATTTAGATGGTGTTGTATTTGCACTTAGGAAAAGCATTTAATAGTTGGGTTTTCTTGAGATTTGAATAAAATGGTAAATATGAGCAGAAGCATATGATTGGTTGGGGTTTGTAGCTGATAGAATGAATAGTCCAAAAGGGAATTATATGGTCCACAAATGAACTTGTATTCTGCAAAACTGTTGGTATGAGATTATTTGGTGATATAATATCACTTTCCCTATTTAAACACATCTGGTATACTGGAGATAGGGGGAAAGAGGAACCAGAGTCAAGCAAAGAGAGTGTCAATTAGCCATACACACAAAAAGGCAAATTCTCTTTTCTGAACATGCCAAAAAGGCAACTTTTTCCCCACAAAAAATGTGAGACAAGATAGATTGAACTGTAAGCATTTTTAGAACTGACAATTTCTTTGATTTTTTAAAATTTTATTTTATTTTTATTAATTTATTGTTTAAAGTATTATATGTCTCCTTTCCCCCCATTGACCTCTCTCCAGGTCGTTCCCACCTCCCCAGCACCTGCCCTCACCCCCATACTATCTGTGTCCATGGGTTATGCTTATATGCATGCATACAAGTTTAATGAACAACGCAAACTGATGAACTAAAATAGATCCAGAGACATAGAAGCACCAAACAGACCATCCAACCTCAGAGGGAAGGTGGGCGGGGGGGAGATGAGAAATCAACCAAAGAACTGACAAATTCTTTTGAATAAAGTCCATTTTGTGTTTAAAGCTGGGGGGTGGGAATTCAAAACTTATAAGAATATTCACTAAGATACCAAATTACTGTGATCTTTTCAAAATAACTTAAATAGATTGATGATTCATTAAAATTAGCCACACAGTTTTAATTAATACTGGGTAAATTATACAAATTTTTAACATTAAAACCATTTTAATTGGGTGGTGGCAACTTGGGGAAGGATAAGGGTGTGGTGTTGACTACATTATTGAGGAAGTCGTCACTGACTTGCTGTAGAAAGTGGTTTTTAAAAATTACCAAAAATAAACTTTATGTTAAGCTACCATAAAATAAATTTTCTGTTAACCAGAAAGTGTTGTTTTCTGGTTGAAGCTGGGCAGAAGGACCTGATGCCCGATTTTGGCATCTGAACACTTAGAGGTAAAAGTGTAAGTCAAGAGCCAAAACCGGTTGGGCTCAGTGGATAGAGCGTCAGCCTGCGGACTGAAAGGTCCCGGGTTCGATTCCGGTCAAGGGCATGTACCTTGGGTTGCGGGCACATCCCCAGTAGGAGATGTGCAGGAGGCAGCTGATCGATGTTTCTCTCTCTCATCGATGTTTCTGACTATCTCTCTCCCTTCCTCTCTGTAAAAAATCAATAAAATATATATTTTTTAAAAAAGTGTAAGTCAAGATATTTAAATATATATGTATGATCCCAAATGATCTCCAATTTTTTTAAAATTAAATCTTTATTGTTCAGATTATTACATTTGTTCCTCTTTTTTTTCCCCCCATAACTCCCCTCCTCCAAGTTCCCGCCCCACCCTCCGCCCTCACTCCCCACCCACTGTCCTCATCCATAGGTGCACGATTTTTGTCCAGTCTCTTGCCGCATCTCCCACACCCCTTTCCCCCCCAAGAATAGTCAGTCCATTCTCTTTCTATGTCCTTGATTCTATTATAATCACCAGTTCATTCTGTTCATCAGATTATTTATTCACTTGATTCTTAGATTCACTTGTTGATAGATGCATATTTGTTGTTCATAATTTGTATCTTTACCTTTTTCTTCCTCTTCCTCTTCTTAAAGGATACCTTTCAGCATTTCATATAATCCTGGTTTGGTGGTGATAAACTCCTTTAGCTTTTCCTTATCTGTGAAGCTCTTTATCTGACCTTCAATTCTGAATGATAGCTTTGCTGGATAAAGTAATCTTGGTTGTAGGTTCTTGGCATTCATCACTTTTAATACTTCTTGCCACTCCCTTCTGGCCTGCAAAGTTTCTGTTGAGAAATCAGCTGACAGTCGTATGGGTATTCCCTTGTAGGTAACTGAGTTTCTTTCTCTTGCTGTTTTTAAGATTCTCTCTTTATCTTTTGCTCTTGGCATTTTAATTATGATGTGTCTTGGTGTGGTCCTCTTTGGATTCCTTTTGTTTGGGGTTCTCCGCGCTTCTTGGACCTGTAAGTCCATTTCTTTCACCAGGTGGGGGAAGTTTTCTGTCATTATTTCTTCAAATAGGTTTTTAATATCTTGCTCTCTCTCATCTTCTGGCACCCCTATAATTCTGATGTTGGTACGCTTGAAGCTGTCCCAGAGGCTCCTTACACTATCCTCGCATTTTTGTATTCTTTTTTCATTTTGCTTTTCCAGTTGGGTGTTTTTTGCTTCCTCGCATTTCAAATCATTGACTTGATTCTTGCGCTCCTCTGGTCTGCTGTCGGGAGTCTGTATAATATTCATTATTTCAGTCCGTGTATGCTTAATTTCTAGTTGGTTCCCCAATATAACATCGAGGGTCTCATTAGTTTTCTTGTAGATCTCATTAAGTTTATCGGCGGCTTCTAAACAGTTCTTGAGAGACCTTAAAAGTGTGGTTCTGAACTCTATATCTTCCATTGACAATTTTGTCCTGTTTCTTTGTCTCCGCATTTTGTTATGCTTCCTTGGTGCACCCCCTAGTGGTCTTTGTTCGAAGTCTTACAGTTAAACCTTGATTGTTGTAGCTAATACCAGGGAGGGTTTGACCTCCAGGCCAAGTGGCTATGAGAATCAGCTGTGTCAGCAGTGAGAGAACTTCTGTCCTCTAGGGAGGTGCTAATCTGGCGTTTGCCTGAGGCTATTCGGCAAATGCCTCTGTGCAGGGCTTGGGCAGGGCGGGTCGCACAGGATCAACAGGGTGGGCCGGAGAGAGCAGTTATGGCGGCTCTCAGTCCTGTCCCCAGGGGCTCTGCCTCTCTGAGTCCCAGCATCCGCTGCAAAGCTCGGAGAGAAAGCTGCACTCGCTCTGACCGAAGCCAGACAGTCCCGCTTCTCCCGTTTGAGTCTGGGTCCCTAAAGACTCGCCTGTATCTGGAGCTCAGAGTCTGTGACTCCCTCCCGATTGAAAACGCCAACCGCGCCCTCCGCCGCCAGCCTGCTCCGAGCACTCCGCACCTCAGAATTTGACTTCAGCACTGAGCCTCCTTTGAGTGTCCGTATGCGTTTCTCTTTCCTCCTAGTTGTAGGACTTCCACTCAGCCAGCGTTCCTGTGGTTCTGGGTGATGTCCCTTCCGTCTTTTAGTTTCACTTTTGAAGTAGTTGTTCAAAGCAGCAAACTCCAGCGTTAACCTATGCCGCCATCTTGGTTCTCTCCACTTCTGAGTTAAGTACTAAATCTCCAGTAAGATGAAATTGAATAGTATGTATTTAATCCTGCATTTTGCTATGGAAGACAATACAAAAACATATTTGAGGAGACATACTTTAAGATATTACATATAGAAACAGTTTTGGGATTTTTATTGCATGCCTGGTTTGAAAGGGTAGTATACTCATCCCGATATATGATCTAAAGCAAATTATTGAAGTCAGTATTCAGACAAGGAAATTAATAGCATCTAGATTCATAGGAATAGAAGATAGATGAAGGCAAATTTTAGCTGAATTTGGAAAATGAGTTTTAATTATTGGACCTATAGAAAAAATTGAGTTGACTACCTTGTTATATGCATGCATTGAATAAGAAGAGATGACTGTCAGCATTGAGCCAGGAAAGAACCTGACAAAATCATGAGAACAGAGGTTCTTTTTTTAAAAAATATATTTCACTGATTTTTCACAGAGAGGAAGGGAGAGGGACAGAGAGTTAGAAACATCGATGAGAGAGAAACATCAACCAGCTGCCTCCTGCACACCCCCCACTGGG